GCGAATCTCCACTCACATCCGGGCCAATCGCAAACGTACGGCTTCTCACCCGTATGGGTCCTCATGTGGACCTTCACGTTGTTTTTCTGTCCAAAATAATAATTAGAAAAAGGGTTTTAATTGACGCTAAAACTCGATTCAAACCCATAGATACCTGACTGAAGAAGAGCGTACAACCCGGCCATTCGCACGGGTATGGCTTCTCTCCGGTGTGGGTTCGCATATGTGTCTTAAGCGCTGATCCCTGAATGAAACTGAGGCCACAGTCGGGCCAATTGCATCGATAGGGCTTTTCGCCAGTATGTGTGCGCTTATGGTCTTTCAAGTGAACCTAAAGTGAAACAAATAATACAATAAATAAAAGCGGTATTAAATGAGTGAATGTGTGGTAAAGACCGAGTGTCTGGCGATGTAATTGCACCCTGGCCAATCGCACGGGTACTTTCGGGTAACGCCAGTCGGTTTACGACCCCTTTTCTTCTTGAGAAGCGTGTCATCAGTGATAATATTGGACACGACTTTGAGATTGTATTGATTGGCTTTGGATTTACTGATGTTTTGCGGTTCGCTTTTAATCTTCCGCTTAATCGCCGTCTTTGGCGGCGAGTCGTCGTTGTGCTCGTCGTCGTTGTCGTCGGTCTTCTGCTGTCCGCCGCCGGAGAAGCGCTTCACAATCGACTGATCCGTATTGTGTCTCAAGAGGTAGTGATTCTTCACTTTGTCAATGGTATCGAAGCGTCGGTTACAGAATTTACAGCTGTATTGCGTGACCACAACCGCCTCAGCGATGATTATATCGTCCGCTTCCGAGTTGTCAATCATGTCTTCGTTGCCGTCCGCCTCTTCCAACTCCTGGTCGTTGTCCTGCGGCTCCTCCTCTTCGTCCAACTCTTCGTTGTCTTCCAACTCATCGTTCAACTGATCCGCGTCTTCGGTGGCGTTAATCATCTCATTGTCGTCGCCGTTGTCTTCGTAGGTGTCGTCTTCGGGCATCACTTGTGCCGTCACATAAGTGCCTTCCGACGATTCAATCATATGAACGGCCACCAGATTCTCATCCATTCCTCGTCAGTCAAAATCAGTGGTTAAGAAACACAACCAGTTTTTGGCAAATAATAACTGTAAGAGAAATGAGAAGAAAAATGGGATTTCAGTTAATTATAGTCTAATTAGTGAACAAATTGTGTAAAAAGAGGCCCAAAACGGGTCAATACAGGCGCGAAGAAGTGGTCAATAAATAGTTACCAAAACTTTGAATAAATCAAAAGTTTTTGAAAACTGCAAAAAACGGTTGAAAAGTGTATTGAAAACCAAATGAAAGACTTGTATGAAAACAAGACTGCAATCAATTGATTGAACCAAACAATAGCCACGACTGGAGTGGACTGTTATATAACAGGTATGTATTGTATTGAATGTGATTAACGGCAATACAAACAGACAATCAATTGAATGAAACAAAACTAATCGCTATTTAATATGCAGTCAATTGTGCCGTCATTTCTGGCGTTCATAATATATGAATGAAGTTTTGGCCGCAAATCGCATATCGTATTGAATGGACAGCAAAAATGGTATGACTTTTGAATACAATAATTATGTTTATAATATATTTTCATATTATGAAAAGCAGGCGTTTGTGTGGAGACGGGGACTGAATTGTGTGGCATATAATGCCGTTGAATATGATGTCTGCACACAGACACCAATGCGATGGCAAAGCACTGGCAATGCATACAAATGTGTATTACATTCAAATCCAATACTATATGTGATTAGAAATTACGTCCGAATTAACTCACATCTCAACCGCCCTTTCGCTCGCCGTTTAGACCATTGGCCGCCGATTTAAACGCCGTTTAGACCNAATGCATACAAATGTGTATTACATTCAAATCCAATACTATATGTGATTAGAAATTACGTCCGAATTAACTCACATCTCAACCGCCCTTTCGCTCGCCGTTTAGACCATTGGCCGCCGATTTAAACGCCGTTTAGACCGATAATAGTTGACTCAATCGCCGATTGGCCACAGATTTGGGGCTGAGTTCGCGGTCCACACAATACAAAGCATACATTCACTGAACAATACATTCAACGCAAACACACAATGCATTCAAAATGGAGACACACTTTATGGGGACCGACCATACATTACGACCGCACACTACAAACCACTCAATCAATGCGTTAGAAACATGTGTTGCAAAACTTAATTAACTTTTTAATTCACACTTTAATTAACGTTACATTTATTGAATTAATTAATTAACGTCTATTACAAGCACTCGTTTAGGCATTGATTACATAACAAACTGATAGCGTAAACGGTGTGTGTCTTTAGAGTACATAAATGTAAAACCATTTGCACTTAAAAATAGATATTTAATTGAGTTATAAATCATTTATAAATTAATGTTAAATCCAATGATCGCTAAAATACATGACTACAAGAGTAACACCAGTGATAGTGGTGTCGATGGGCCGCACGTATGGCCTGAATGGCTGGTCTACTATGGGTTTGGATGCAAATCCTTTGCGGTATTCATTTGTCGCATGTATTTAGCGATAGTTTGAGCCATTTGTTGGTCGCGAAGATAGCGATTCTTCTGGCCGACAGTCAAGGGTCCGAACCCGCGTCCGT